GCTCTCATTTTAGGTGAAAAGATTCGAATTACTTCAAAATCCAAAGTACTGGCTTGAAAAGCTTTATTTAATGATTGTAAGAAGAGTATGTTGAATTTTTTAATACCTTTCTGAAAATTAGGAAAAGTGATGCAAATCAATGCATACGTGGCGCAAGCCAAATGCAAATCAAGCCCTGATTTGAAAACCTCCTCTAGCGATGTTTTGACCAGAATACGAGTGCCAAGACACTAACTAAGATACTTTGAATACTCCGTGGAGTGCCGCGTCGATTAGCATTCACGAACAATGTTGTTTATGTCTTATTTGTACATCGTGAAGATATTGCGAAGAATTGGTAGAGTTCCATACATTTATTTTTTTCACAGTCACCTTTACAGTTATTGAAAACTTAATGCATATGAAGGAGTGGCAGAAAGAAGCCGTGGCTCAGTGTCATATTAGCTGCCTCATTGAAAAACGTCTTTTTCTAAGAAATTCTAAGAACTGGCAATATCACCAGCAAAAAAAATCTTCTGCCACACGATACAACTTGGTACCTTACTGTAATCTTTTTTTCTATGACCATTTTAGATGCGATTTTTCATTCAGTCCATCACGTTGAAAAATTCTTCGAACAATCTGTTTTTCGACTGTCTTTGAATTCTTCAGTGAAATTTCACAAAAATTCCTTTTACTATCAATGCGCCGGTAGAGGCAGAGGCGGTGACTGCATGAGATCTGATACAATATCCTAATCTACCTTGGAGTATGTGGAGGAGAATACGTTGACGAAACGGGTAAACCCTCTGCGTCCAGGTAAAAGAGCACCTAGGAGGGACAACGTAACTCCGACGCAAAAACTGCACTAGGCTTGCATAAGGAGCAAAAATATAAAGATGGAGATTTCGACATCACATTGATCATTACACAGGAATCAAAATACCCGCGCGAAAGCTTTGAAAGCTTTGTGGATTCGTTGTTAAGAGCAGAAAATGAACTGCAAATAGGAGTGCCTTGTAATCACGCGTGACCTTGAACCTTCAGGCGTTCAGGCGTAGGTTAAGCACAGCCCATTTATGCGACTCTAAGGGCTGGTCTTTAATTAATAATTGCAAGACTTAAAACATCAAAACGGTGGCACTGATGACACTGTCGAGGTCGAAACATGTCTGTCGGGCTCTATAAGTCAGCCCCAGGCCACATGACATCTTGGAATTACGAGATATGTTGAAATTTGAGCGTACTCTTAAGAAAACATTCGAAACGAAAGGTATGATAAACGGTGAGTGTCTCAGTGTGGAGCCATTACCTATACCATCCCAGATTTTTTTTCTTACATTTTCTGCCGAGATTACAAAAGCATTTGACTGAATGGATTGCAAATCAGTTTTACCTTTGTACACTCTTACGAAGGTAAGACTTGTTGAAACGTTATCCACCATATCATATTATTGCACTGTGGTAGTGCATTACTGCGCTGCAATAGTTTATTGCATTATCATCATTCAATAAATGCTATTATTACCAATCTCAGAATACCTTATCACGAAGAGAAGCCACTAATTTAATTTGAGTACGGCAAGGTTAACTGATTGTCGACCTTGGAATTTCGTTGTTTCAATTACCTACATCCTTACTGAACTCTTATCTGTCATCCTTTCCGATTTCCCAATGTTAAAATTTCTCTTAGTAGCGATTGAAATGAAAATATTGTCTAGAGAACTACCACATTATCTCTGGAGAGTCACCCTCTATCCGAAAAAGGCAGCGCTTCGGAATGGATTAATGATTCTCACTGATTTTGAATTCGTAAAGGAAAAGCGAAAATAGCTTCGTCTCGAAAGGGCTAAAATTTGAATTTAATTTGTTGAGAAATTTGGATCATGGCATTTTATCAAACGTTTGAATTCTAGAAACTATCTAATAGTGTTAAAATTTAGATATATTCACTTTGATCAGAAATCATAAGCTTATCTTCAAAGTTGCAATTTTTGTAGTATTATAACATTTTCTGTTCGTTACCTTGCCCTGGTGGCATCACTCCACATCCCAACATTGTCTCGACGATCGACATCAAAAGCATAAGTGTATGAATCGCTGAGCTTCTCGCCATGTTCGTATGATTGTTCAATTCTAGCTCTTGAATAATTTGGGAATTGCTGCACACTTGATTGAGAACAAATCTTCTATTTTACACAAGAGATCGCTGACGAGATAGAATTGGATCTGTAACTCAGCACTGTATATCAGTGACGTCCGTGAAGTAGACGTTTGTGCGGCTCTTTGATTTTTCGTGGACTTTTAGGGGATTTCGACAAAGTGAACATAAAGCAAAAATTCCTAAAATAAATCCTATAACAAAGTTGTACTACTCAGAAGCATATGGAAATCGACAAGCAAGGAGAAATGTGTGCAAACTTCTGACTAGAAATGAGGGCCATAAAGGCGATCGCTTGACAGAATTATTTCTGAATGCAGTGAACATGGAATAACGGCTTGAATTTGGTTCCCATGACTTCAGTAGTATTGCCGCACTAAAAAACTTGGTTTTCCCACAAATAAAGGGATTCGCAATTAGAAAACGTCGCCGTCAATTATGGATTTCCACAAGAGTATTTTTAAAGATTGTATCATAAATAGGAACAAAACTTCAGGGTGCAAATAAGCGGCAAACTATTATGAAATGGCAATCGGCAGATTTCAATTCTTTCATTACGTTTCCAGCAAAGTATGGCCGCGTACTTCTCGTTAATGATGGCGCATTGATAGTAAAGAAAATTTTTGTGAAATTTCACTGAAGGATTCAGAGACAATCGAAAAACAGATTGATTAAAGAATTTTGCAACGTGATGGACAGAATGAAAAATCGCATCTAAAATGGTCATAGAAAGAAAGATTACAGTAAGGTACCAAGTTTTATCGTGTGGCAGAAGAATTTTTTTGCTACGTTGTCGAAATGGTCGAGATTTGCGGTATCTACGCTCACGCTATAACTGAAAATTTCGAAGAAAAGCTTTGTCTTTCAGAAATTTATGTGCGAAAATCGACATCATTTTTCCTATTACAAAGAACTAGAAAGGTTTTTTTTCCTGAAAACAAACCTATTATTGTAATTTCCGGACTTACGCTATCGAATGATTACTAGTAATCTAGGTAGAAAGCTCTGTCAGGTGATGAATACGCCCGATAACGAGCTTCCAGGGTCAAAAGCATTTTTATTTCAGCGTCATAGCACTATGAGAAAGTTTTTTCAAGGAAAAAAATTCGAAATCATCGGGATTTAGGCCTTTGGACGATTACTAAATTTCAGTGAAAAATCCTTCCCAACAAAATGGTCTTTTCAAAATATTTTTGCGATAATGGAGAAGTGTTCGAAATCATATGATAATGGATAGACAGTTTAAGGACGATGAAGAAGCCGAGTTTAGTCTATTTCGTGGTGTAGAACATGGGGCGAAAGCTGATTTGAGATCAGTTCGTTGTTTCCTATTCACAAAATTGAGGGCCGCATGTAATTCGAATATAGGAATACTCTTTCACAGCTATCCATTCCAATAATCGAAGTAGAAACCGCTCGACAACAGTGAGATATATTAGCGAAGTAGAAGAAAATACTCAAATCGCTCATGATGGATGCAAGGAGAAGAAATAAGTGCGAAAATTGCTATGATCTGAGATGTTTGTGGTATTGAACTGTTCCAAAGTGGCTGACACTGTATCAGAATACACAGACTCAAGTAGATAATCTCTTCACTTGCCGTCATGTTATTCTTCTTAAGCCAAATAACGTAAATGAGAAAAACAAATCAAACATGCATGTTGAGTCCCAAATAGTTTTGATTGAGGCCAAAAGTAAATTTTTACGAGCGAATGGAACCGTAAGTGATATATGAGTTCTAATAAAATCTCGCGAGAAAAAAAAACACTGTATCATAATATGAGTGAAAACCTTGGCTTTATCTTTTTCAGCCTTTCAATTTTTCATCGCTTACTGACATGATTGTGCAAAATCAGACGATGAAAACTGAAGATGAAAGTACTAAATTTGTTCCATCGAATACGCACGACTTTTTTCATTTATCGTTCTACTGTATCTTTATATAGTTACTAGGAACAAAGATTACAGGCAGTGGCTATTTTTTGTATTCACCCTCTTTTTCAATAAAAGCAAATCTCTCGAGAAAGAAATTACTTACTTTCAATGGAATGATGAGCATGACTCCACACTGCATCATCGTCGGTGGTACTGTGACTGGTACATGCGTTGTAATGAATATATGTGTGGTCACATGGGTATGACCATGGCTATGAATATCGAAGCTATTCCTGCCAATCACACGACAATTTCAGGAACTCTCACGGCTTGAACTGCTTTAGTTGTTATGTTATCTCTTTCTCAAGGAAATCATTTGTAGACCACGAACATCATCATGGCGAGTTGGTCTAGACCGATGTACCACAGTGTAATGAGCAGAGCGATTCGAATGTTAACATCGGGTCTGTTTGGATCGCACTTCTTTTCGGCTTCTGTAACTGTTAGCTAGAACGCCTACTCCATCGTGAAGTGTTTGAAATAAACGACTCTTTCGTTTGTGGTTTTATTCTGTTTCAGTTTTATGAAGGTTACGGAAATATTAGCCACCAAAATATTGGGATAAATTTGGCGGATTGAGGGCCAGTTGAACATGCGGTGAATCGAATGTACTTATAGAATAGAAATTTCGCGCTCATGACTAAAGTGGAAAAAGCTCAGTGTGCTTATTATTTAGAAAAGATGCTCATTTCTTGATAGAATTCTCTAAAAAGTAACCAAATACACTCCACATATTGGGTATACTATAACATCATACCACTGCAAGTGGCAATCAGAATAGAAAGAATTTAGACTGATTATCGATATCCAATGTCTGTCAACACAAGTGGGTTCAGTGCCGATAGCGGCTGTCCCGCCAGACCGTCGACGGTTGGCTTTTGGCAGACAACGCGTTATAACATAAATAAGAGTGCTGTGCAAACGAGCGTCGGTAGGGCAACGGTTAGTTTACGCTCCCGGAAAGAGTGAGATGTGGGTTCGAATCCCGGCCGACGCAAACGTTTTTGCACAGCACTCCACATATTGGGTATACTATAACCAAATACATTTGCTAATTTATCGAGAGGTGGTCACTTATGGAGTCATAAAGGTGACAAGATAATGCTCAAAAAGGACCATATCCTTTAATAGATTTTCATTGATCTTTAAACTTTCCGTTTTCATGTCAGCCTCCTGAGTACAGCTGTAAGACACTGCGAGCAGCATAAATCGCAAGCGGTGAACGATTCTTGTTATTTAGCTGGTACTTTCTTCTTCTCCTCGAAAAAATTTTAGATTTCTCTCTTACCTTGATGGTTTATGGTTTTCTGTAACTCTCCCGCGTTTTTGAGAGTTCGTAACTTCTGTTCATGAAAAACCTTTGTTTACTGTACTTGTACATTGTATGCTATGTCAAGTTCAACTATGATTTTCAACGATTTCCGATAAATAACGTACCTTAAGAGTTGGCATTATGATAGAGTTGTGGATTAAACTATATTTTATCATTCTATGGACATACGAACGTTGATGCCTGGTTACCTTCGAGATTATAAGAGATCTGCGCGATCACTGTTCTACGGCGTCGATGATCAAGACAAGTCCTCAATCATTGCGGAGACGATTAAACATGGAGAAAACTGTGATACGGATGAAATAAATATAAAATTTAATCACTCATACTGTACATGAAGTCTCTGCCCGGAACACAAACTTTACTTTCTCAACTTGTTGCTAACTAAATGTCTTCAAGGCAAATCACCGTATTTCGTCCTGTTGCCTCCTTTTTTAATTATTTTAATGTGATCACGTGGATGTGGTAGTGCAAGTCCATCGGTGCATTAGAGAACATGTGAATGTGAATTTCAAAAAGATGTATACAAACGCAGGAGAGGGAAGGGAGAGGGATATATGCATCGGCTTTTCAAATGATACCTCTAAAGGGTAGCAGTGTACTCCGTCAGAACAACCCTCAGCAAAAGCGCAAATACACGTAACATAATGGTTTCCATAGCTCAGGGGTGCTTCTCGTCCGCTGACGGTGACATTCAATGTTATGCGGAGCTACATTAAGCAGAAGCCGTTTGTGGATTTAACCGACCAGATGGCCTCTTAGTGATCATCTAGAAAGGCTTGCGAAACGTATGCGCATTTTGCCGCCTGTTCACCCCACAATCTTGAGTCATAGTTTTGGTGCATGCGTGTATTTTTTCCATTGTCACTCATATGGCCAACTCATGAGTAATTTATCTTCAGAAACTGAATGCTGCAATATAAGATTCATTGAGGCAGAGAGACAAGAAAAAACAAAGCCGATTCTTGTCCGGGTCCTGATACCGCTAATGATAACATGGTGTACTCAATATAATAGAGTACCACAAGACTAACTTGTGTAGCTGTTATACAGCAACACATTGCTGACAATATGTTAATGTTGAGAGAATTTTTTTTCTTTTAGACATTTTATTTTGCCGCACATTAATATTCTGATGATTTCCTACTACATATGTTATATTAGGCGCGACAAGAGTTACTGTCACTACATTACAGCTTATAAAAAAGCTTTCGAGACCAACTTGCCTCATTGGGCACCACGGCAAATTCCTAGATTGTGCAAAGATGACTATTGACAAGGTACCAGCACAACGAAGTTTGGGTGATAGGGGCAAACCTTGTCGCATTTATATTTGAGCTAATAAAAGTGCAAGAATTGACGTCAGCGAGATTAATGAATGACAAAAAATCCATAGACTGTGTGTTTTCTATACGCTCCTCAAGATTGTATCTTTGGGAACATTCTACATTCTCAAATTCACTTCAACTACTCTATCATATTGAAACGTTTCCTTGAACGATGTTCAATTCACAAAATTCAATTTGCAGATGTCCTTCTTGATATGATCTACACACTTCACAATTTGAATTATAAAATCTATGCTTTCGTACCTGTTTCTCATGCAATCTAAGCAAAAGTATTGCTACAGACTAGCTCTTAAGCTTAGCTTCAAATGATCAGTAATAATTATTAGTTCAAAAATCTCTCATCTTTGGTTCATTACCTCTCATCTCACCCGTCACAGACAAAAAAAGCGCTGATTGAAAAACATGTTCTGTACCGCTGCCTGTGTGTGTACTGGGAGAGAGCAGAAGGTGGAATCCATAGAATTGACTCGGCAATTAGCCATTTCGGATGGCTATGTAAATGTAGTTCACAGGGCTAAAATTAGAGAAAATCACGTGCCCCTAAACGAAAACTTCGCTGAAAATAAGGTCCCATGTGTGCTTCCCTTTCTTACAAATGAAATAAGTATAGCTACTAGACGTTGTTTGAAACGCTAGGATTGGATCAAACGGTTGCTGTGATTGAGATACCACCGAATAATTATAAGCGTCAGCTAGTCCGCAATCGCTTGTACGATCGTCTATGTACAACAAAAAAGTGCATTCTTGTACTAACGGTGAAGACGGTGACTGCATGAGTAAGGGTGCAGTTTACTCAATCTCTTGGAAGGCGTGCGGCGGCAAGTATGTTGGCAAAACGGGTAGGCCACTCTATGTCCGTATAAAAGAATACCTAGCCGATAAAAGTAATTCTAAACCAAATAGCCCATTAGGAACGCACAGGACACAGACACATGATGGGAGTGATTTTGATGTAAAAGTAAATATCTTTGCGCAAGAACGTAAGACCTTGGCGCTCAAAGTTCTTAAGGTGTTTTGGATACATTCCAAAAATCGCGATATGAATCCTAAAGATGAGTGCCCACTAAGCACTCATGATTTCGCGCCATAACTTAGATCGATTTTTACGGATCTAAGTTACGCACACACCTAGCCCATCTAAGACCCAGTGCTACTGGTCTTCATATTCAGTAGATATAACATAAGAACAAGGCGGTGACTCAAATCTGGCTGATTATTTTACGTTCCAGAATTACTTAAATGTTTGTTTTTTTTCTTCCTTTTTTTCTCTTTCCTTCTTTCTGCTTTGGTTATGGAAGTGTTTGAATAAGTTGATGTAAGCAAGTTGAATTCTTCCAGGCTCTGAGGAAGGCAAGACTGCTGAAACGTGTCACCGTTACAATCTCTTTCGTACTACTTTGTACAAAATAACCGTGTATCGATAAGCTCGTGTTTATTAAAGCAAAAATAATCACGTAATAGTTCAAAAAACTTAGCGAGAAATATTTGTCCAATCCTAACTGATTTCTGAATGAGCCATTTGCTGGTCTCAGGAGTTTTGAAGTCAGCTTGGCTGGACCTTTTTTTGTGTTGTCAAAGCTACAGACATTAGCCTGCTCTTAAGGATCAAAGGGAGATCTACTACTTTACTTCTGATCTGATTAAAAAAAAACAATGAGCTTCCAGACGGGAACGTCAAGCTCCGCACTAGCTTAGGAGACTATGCAGCAAGTATTGTCTTTCTGTTGTGCATCGAGGTACGACATCCTAAAACACCCCCAGTAACGATGAAGCGTTTAACTATTGTGGAATAGAACTAACCATAAGCAAAATTAGAGATGATTTTTAATATGGTTTTTGATAGCCCGTAATGCGCCTCGATAGAGAGGTATAAGTCAATTGTTAGTCGTCTCAGATTGAAGATTTTCCAATGGCAAGGTTGAATGTGTTTACGCAAAAATTCCACCTCCGATAACTAACATGCTACGTCGTTGATGATCATTTTAACTTCGGACTGAGCAAGAACCATACTCAGAAGGTCGAATGGAACGCAGTACGGTAGATCGCCACAAACGATGACTGTCGTTTGGAATGCCTTGACACTGTTCTCTCATACGAGGTATCAACGCTATGTCTTCATTAATTGAAACCGCCAAGCATTTAGCTACGGGTGCTCTTCCCAGGAAGCTTCGGTGAAAAGGTGTAAGAGTACCTGTTGGTACCACTTTTTATTTTTATTCAAATGAAAACATGAGGTCTGCTATGGCACTTATACAGTGTTTTGGCAATACACGTGTTTTGGCCTTGCAGCCTCATCAGTTGCCCAGCGTTCTATCGTTCAACTAACCAATGACGAAAGTCCTACACGCGCCGTTAGGCGATCAAATTACCGAATGGGAAGTGTTATACACTTGATTGCTGTTGGTTAAAATATCATACCTTTCATTTTTAGTGTTTCTTAGAACCACGCTCAAGCTCAGTATGCCTGATAATCATTTTTGAGCAATGCATATGGCTTGCAACATTATTGAATATCAGGCATATTGGAGTTTTAGAGTGAACTCTAGAAACACTTGAAACGAAAGGTGCAAATGAAAACACATTTTTCTGTTCAGACGAAGCTTCAAGAGTAACGAACTAAGAAGAAATAATTGAAGATTTTCAAAAGCTACTTGCAAATTCTTCAATAATCATTCTCGTGTTGTCCTCTTTGATTTTTCCTAATCAGTTTTTCTTCGTGAATGTATAAAAATTTCTTTCTTTGAAAGAGATCTATTCATGTTATTTCATTACTGTTGGAAGTGTGGATTGCTTTAAGTCTTTTTATTTCACTCCATTACAGTAGTCGAGAACAAGGGCGAAGAGACGATAAAGAATGGGAATTTCAAGAGATGAAAACAAATTATAACAGAAACGTGACTTCATCTCAATGTTAGCCGTCATCTTTGTGTCTTTAGAAATGACCATATCTTGATAAAAGATCAACTGCTGGTGTTATAGTTTGAATAGTTTCCACATTTGCATGAGTAATTTCATATTTGTAAACCTAGAGAATTTTTTTCTCGGCATAACTGCGAATTGTGAATTGACTAGAAGATTTGATTCACCGCATTTCAAATGTAACTTCGATTTTTTACATATGCCCGCGGTCTGGTCTAATATTTGAAAATCTTTTGAGAAAATGAGGCAGAAAAAAAGTCACATGAGTGAATCATTTATTCTAACCATTCTACAGTAGAGTTTGTGTTTAGTTGACGTAGCGAAAGCCGAGAAGAACTGCAATCTAAGCGGACCCGATGCCAACATTCGAATCGCTCTGTTCACCACACTTTGCCA